ACACACACACACACACCTTCAGCCTTTCCTCCACCTCTCTCTGCACATGCTATGTCTTTCACTGCTATTTTAGTGCACTATATTTAATCTTCATATATCAAACCGTTCGGGTTTTTTTCCATCACATTGGTGGAAATGGGCTTCCATAATATGTGCTGTGTCCTGTGTTTATAAAAAAAATGCACACATTTGCCCATTTAATGAGCTAAAGACCCTATTGGTGTGCATTTCCTCCTTTGCTCGTTTTAAGGCTCCCGAGACAACGGTGGTATGTCAGATTGTGTGTGACTCTTTGATGGGTGTTGTCTTTTCTTATGGAAAGCTGTCATACCTTTTAGTTTTAAAAACAATCCCACTAAGCACCATAACACTTATATCTCAGCTATATGCAATACAATAGAACATATTCTGTAGAATACTAGCAGATTTTGCCTCAGTATTAACTGTTCAACGCAGACACAGCTCAGTGTCAATCCTCACCTAGCTGGAGGAAAGTGAAGATAAAATGTTTACTTCCTGTCCAAACCTACCACAACAGATCCACGCCGACATGCCTCTCTTCATGGTAAACAGACTGCATCGCTTTTTCCAAAAGCACTTCACAAAGCATCTCACATTCACAAACCTGCTGCCAGTGAGCTGACATGCAAGGTACTGGTCTAACCATTGGGAGCAATTTGATATGTTATACAAAATCACAAACTTTGGGTAGCGACCCAAAGAATGAGATTGTGGATACAAGAGGCCGAAATGAGTTTCCTCTGTAGGGTAGCTCAGATCAGCCTTGGATATAGGGTGATGATCTTGGACATCCTGAGGGAGTTTGGAGCAGAGCCACTGCTCCTTCGCATCAAAAGGAGGAGACCCTGGGGTAGACCCAGAACTCCCTGGAGGGATTACATATCTTATCTGGCATGGAAATGCCTCGGGATTTCCCAAGAGGAACTGGAAACCGTTGCTGGGGAGAGGGATGTCTGGCATACCTTACTTAGCTTGCTGTTACCGCGAGCCAACCCCGGAAGCGGAAGAAAATGGATGGATGGAATATAAAGAATAGTTAAATCCTGATCAAGGGCAAAAAATGGCACAGTGTTACCACCCTGAGGTTGTATGGACATTTTCTATGTGTTTGTGTATATGTGTTTTAATCTCCTCTGTGCATGTGTTGTGGATCTCTCTCTCTCTCTGCTGTGCTATGCGTGGTGGAGTTTGACTAATTGCAGGTTGCTTCAGGGAGCCGATTGGTTCCAGTCTCCAAGCTTTCGGTTTAAAAGCTGGGCTTCCCCCAGCTCCTGGAGGATCTCCAGTCTCCAATCCCAGCCAGACTGCCAGCCAAAATGTTTCTGTGTAATAGAACGTAACGTAATAGATCTGCTAGCTGATTTAACAGCCCAGGTTCGGTATGGGGTGGATAGCATTTATGTTTAACCCACTATGAACCTAAATGTTTTTAATAAACCTGTAAAAGGGCTCCTGGTGGAATAAGGAAGTCCATTTTTTTACGTTGGGCCAGGGTTTCCTAAGTCGTCCCTGAACATCCCTGAGTTATTTCAGCCCATACATCATTCAGGATATATTTGCAATAAGCTACAGTTTAGGATTTTATGCCTATAAATGTGTCCACTTGTGTACAGCTCCTTCAGCAGGATATTTTCCAGTTTGACAGTCATTGTATTCATGCATATGGGCTGTTTGTCCTTGCGTAGGCGCAATCTCCACCAGTGTGGTGCTGTAGAAGTAAAGTAAGGATAAAAACAACAGCAGCTCCCTGCATTCTTAACCCAGCTGAGTTAAGTGGGTTAGGGCTTTGCTACATGACCTACTTCCCCTCCCAGGCAAACACATGAGGATACCTACTCTGCATAGAAAATCCCTTTAAAAGTAGGATTTAAATTATTTCAGCTTTTCAGAATTAGACTCCATTGCCAGAGAGTGGAGGATGATTGAGTAGGGTGATTGAGCTATATGATATGGAACAATTCAGTACAGTCTGATACAGTTCTAAACATTTGTTTAATGTAGACATTCTACATTAAAATAAGCCAATTCTATAAAAGGGACATTGCTTACCTTTAAATACATATATTTTATAAAATGTCACACGTTTTTATATACCGATTTTGCGTATCACGCTGTGCTAATGTTACTCTTGTTACTCTCGTAACGAGACCTTCCCATTGAGCTTTTACTTTTCATGAGAGTAGAGACGCTGTTAGCAGCAAAGCTTCAGTCAACAGATTCATCACCATCAACCAGTTCATGGTACATTTAGAATGATACAGGGGGCCGCGTACTGATGTAGTTGAATCCATAACGTTAAAACCAATTTCCGACTAATATCGGTAAATCTTTACAGCCCTACCAGGAAGGTATAGCTGCAATGACTGGAGCAGAAAAGAAACACTACTATCCAGAAAAAAAAAGCAATGATTAATTTTCTGTCTGGGGTATTTTAAAGGATCTGGACAGGATGAGGTCTAGAGTTAAAGCTGCACCTAATATGTATGCATTGACAATGTATCGCACGACTATAATGTGAAGGGTGTCACTCACACTGTTTTGGTATTACCATACACAATTATTGTTTTGGTTGAGTCTTAGCGCTGTGATCAAGCTGCTTTAAATCACTGTACACTGCCTGATCAGCACCACACAACAACAGGAGTGGTGACCAAACTAGAGTAAAGGGAGAGTGAATATTGGACTTACATTCATCAGGTGGGCACAAATAAATGCTAACGTTGCTCCGTATCTCCTGAAGCTGTAAATAGGCAACTGTTTACTAAAATGATCACCATAACAGCTTGTTCTACTGCCCCTAAATGCACCTTATTAAAAGCTTCAACCATGTATTTAGGACCTTGTCCCACCAGATCCTGTCATTCAAGTCTCGTGGTATGACAGCGGAAGCTTCCATTCCTCTTCCCAGATGTTTGCTTTGAGAGATCTGTGCTGGGGCAGAAGTATTGCCTTCTATCCATAGTCACAGAGGAGAAAAAAAAAACACTTACCCAGGCCATTCTCACAGTCTGTAAACTCCATGGAATGAACAGCTCGGTCTACTCCGTATGGACCCATTAGTGTCCTGTTAGAGATGGAGGGATGAAGAGGGTGAAGACAAAGAGACAAAAGAGGGAAACATAAGTAAATTCCACATATTTTCCTTTCACACATTAGATCCAAAGATACACAGACTACAGCGACTCAACATGAAGGAGTGCTTGACTAGCATTTGACTTTGTGAAGAACACAGAGACTTATGTCTGTCTCATAGACTGACTTACAGACCATGTTCTTTAGACCAGCCATGAAGGACAAAGAGTGTACCTTGGAAAGTGCAGCAGATGTTTCCTTTGAAAAGATAGATCTTCCATACACTGATAAATACATGTGACCATTGTATTTACAAAGAGTATAATAAGCTGATATGGATTTTCTTTTGCATTTTTACTGTAATATTATATTGTATGTGTAATGATTAGTGTAGAGTATATCCTGTATACAACTAGCATGTAGTATGGAGTTGGGACACAGCTGTTGACTTGTCCAGAATGTTGCAGCTGGCTGACACAAGTTTAAGTCCTCTTGACTGTTTTAGGCATGTCGTGTTTTTGGTGAGACTACCGCCTTGTTGATACTATCTGCCAGTACTTGCTGAGAGGTGCAAATATATACCTCTAGATGCGAGACAGACTGGAAGATTCAAAGCATGTGTACATTTTTAAACAACCAAAAATAAAACATCCAAAAATTGAACGCTGGCTGGAAAACATACATTCTGTTTGCAGCTGTGTAAAATAAGAAGTGTTGTCTGCTGCTGCCACCTCAGACACCTATCCATCCAAAAATGACACATCTATTTATCTCTCTGCTAGGTCTCACCCCTACATACTTTTATTTAACACAAGTAAATATGCTCTTCTTCACATCTTTCACTGACTTAACAGAATCCAGAGATACAGTATCTTGGCTGGAATTTTTATTCTTGGAAGAATTTCGTATGGAGTTTGTTTGTGAGCGAGCATTTACCTCTAGGTAACATAGAATATGTGTAATATAATCAATTAATATATCAAATATAATGTCTCTATGTAACCTCATACTGTGTGATATTTTACACATGGGCACAATATTTTCCTGTGGATACTTATCCTGTCTGTGTGTATCAAGACTATTTATTTAAAATAAATATGACCCAATATTGAATACAAATGAATGTTGAATGTTGTGTGTTAATATACATGGTACTAGTATATAGTTCCTATATGGAGCTAGAAGTTTGCTAATGGAAGTATGTATAGTTGACTACAGTATGGAGGACCACAAGTGTAAATAATAATAAAGCATTTCATTAATTAATAACTAACTTACAATAAAAATAGGTAATAATAAATGTGTTTACACATTCATTTATTAATCTATAAATAAAGAGACTAAATTACTAAAACTGCAATGGCTGTGAAACTCACAAATAGCTTTAAAAGCCCCATTTAGAGCCAGTGTTTGTCAATTCCTTTTTTCAGGTGATTATACACTAATAAAAACATAGCTATGGATTATATCTTCCATTTCTGCTACATGCTACACACTGGACCGATAAAATAAATCAATGCGGTAGACCCAGAGATATCGTAATTTGTTTAATTGTATGAATTATTTTACAAAACCTGGTGCCTACATTACCCACAACTTGACACCCAAGAGTTGGGTCAGAGATTCAGGTATGTGGTGCTAGTAGCAGCTAATGCTAGCCTGCAGCAGATATGAGGAGCAGTTACAGAGGTCTGGTAATCTCACTTCTTTCTAACTTTAAAACTTGCAGTCTTCAGCCCCAACCAACATTGACTCAAATGGCATCACTTGAGGACATTTATCAGACTTCACACAGCTCCCTCTGGGAACATTTTTACACATATGCAGTAGTAGTCCCCAACACCTGTGAACACACTTTGATGTGGAAAATCAGTTGATTTTTGTTCACTGAGAGGAGTCTCAGTCGATGTCGGATAGTCGTTAGTAGCCACTAACTGCACTAGCCATTTCTAAACAATGTCGCCCTGCTGATGGGCGAACCAGTTCTGAGCCAGTGGTTCCCAACCTTTTCTTCAGACGCACAGCTGCTGTTAAGTTGAATATTTTTTAATGAAATTGTAATTTTTTAATTAGTTGAGTCACTCCACAAATCTTTTCACATACTCCCCAGCAACTGCAGAAGTACACCCTGGGGTACACAGACACCTGGGGAGTTGGGAATCACTGCTCTAAATACCTTTTAATTTAAGGAATAGTTAACAGAGTTTAAGATATTTCAAGCTATTCAGATTTGAACTGAACACAGACATAGTTGGATATCATGAATTGTGGAAGTTAATTATGTGACCATTCCTTTGATTTCTATACAAACTAAGCCATAGGGAGTCAGCAACAGTTAAGTGAGTTGGAATAAGACGACAGTCATTAAAAAGCGTCTTGGTCAGTGCTCACAGACTGTACTGTGGGTAATCTCTCAGAGATGAGGTTGGCAGAAATTATTATAGTATTAGGTAACAGTGCTGCACAAGTGCCCACTCTGGTTTTCCTTATTCCTAATCCTTCTAACATTGGCTCAAGCAGCCATTTGATTTAACATAATTTGCTCAGACTGAACTCACAAAAATATGGTGTTAAATATTAACAAGATAAACTAATGCACATTTCTATCTGTTGTTTACCTGTAAATAGCATTAGCAACAATAGGAATCTGGAACAATGTCTTCTCAGCAGTGGAATTTACAGTTCGCTGTGTGGCTGCCACCTGAACAACGAGCAGGATTATCAATATTTCAGCTGCACTGGGTTCCTCAGTACCAACCTGACACTCCTGCTGCTGTCAGTGAAACAGCAAGGGTAACTGTGGACACACTGAGCTTCAAATGAAACCAGTCAGCAGCAGAATGTACTATTGATAACATCTGAGGACAGGGAGAAGTGTGAAGCATTATTCACACTACTGAAGATGACCTGTGTCCACAACCCAAAGATATTCAGTTTACTGTCAAAAAGGAGTAAAGACACCAGAAAATATTCACATTTACATGGCCACTGCTGCAAACGTCCCCTCTTGGATGCACCTAAAGTATAAACCATGATAAAGCTCCCTCTATGGTGCCTGTCCAGTGGACAAAAAACAAAGTAGTTCCCAACCTGGGGGTCGCCAAAGCCTCAGGGGGTGTCACAAGGTGTTATTGATTTTAGGGTGTAGGCCTATAAGATTTTAAATATACACAGGCCTATATCCCAGCATTTGGTTCACTTCTGTGAAGAAAAGCACATGTAAATTGTCTAATAGAACAATGCCCAGCGTCAGGGAGAAGAAAGCACTGAATTCGGAAAAACGAAAGAGAGAGAGAGAGAGAGAGATAGAGAGAGAGAAAATCATATTAGTTATAGTTGGTATATATGTAATATGTTATAGAAAAAATACATAATACAGACAGAATTGTATACAAAATTCCCTAAACGGGAAAGGATCTGCTCAAAATGCATTCACCTTTCATTTCACACACGCTTTTTGTAGTTAGATTTCACTATTTGGGTTAATGGTATGGTTTTAAATAGAAAATGAAATATCCATAAAATATGTCACTTATTCAGAGGTCAGTTTACACAATGATAAAAAAAGGGGTCCCTTACAGAAAAAGGTTGGGAGAAAACACAATAAAGTGCCCTCTAGGGATCCCTTCCAGCGGACAAAAAATTTATAAAGTATGCTGTAGGGTGTTAATTCTAAACCTGGTTAAACTGTTTGATCATAAATACATCCCAACTTTGTGTTATGGTGCCCTTTTTATTTTTTCGCCCGAGTCCACCACTGTGAGGTAGCTTGCTGTTATCCGGACTTTTAAACGTTCATTCGGGTTTTTCGACATTACAACACTTTATGTGTAGAAGTACATCGTTAGAGGAACTTTTTGTTACAGAACATTGGCCTATAAATCAATGCAGTCTACAATTAAACAGTCGTTGTTTTAAATACAACCATCACTCGTTGCGCGCGGCGCACGAGACGACAGATGGGGGGGTCTATCTTATCCCGTGGAATGTTACAGAAATAACACCAGAAAAAAACACGCTCACCAGCTGTAACCAGGCTGCTCTACCTACGTGTTGAAACACATTTCTCCCCTGAACACCTGCAGGGAATATATTTCGACATTAACCATTTTTAAACAGAATTTAACGCAACACCACGTTTTACCGAATGACTGAGTTCATTGCTTATCTTCAATTAAACGCTACGTTTTTTTCCCCACACACAAACCTCGAGCGTAGATTTCATTTGTTCTACAAACAAAAGCTGTAAACATCAACCACTCCGCCGCCACCACTACACTCAACCAAAGTAGCATACAGCATTGTCAGGCACACCTCCAGTCTCTTTATTTTACCTGCTAATGATGACAGCTCCTTTATACATGACTGAGAAGGTTGGCATTTTGACATGGAGCCGCTTCTCCGGTAGGACGGTCGGTCGGTCGGAGCTTCCCCAGCCTTCAGCCCTCAGCCTTCAGCCACATGCTGCTATGTGTACAGACGGATGGGCACACTAATTCCCGCTAACCAGACTGCCCGCTCCAAACATCTCCGACCACCTTCACACACACAGTTAATCTCTTACGTAACCAAAGTCGCCAAAAATTAAAAAAACAGGAAGCACGGAGGCTAGAAATGATTTGGTGGAGGCTTATCTTTCACACGTTTTCAAGGACTACCTGAATTTATTTGTTGCTTCAAAAAGAAGAGGATATTCTCAAAGTTTATTCCTGTAGAATATTAGAATCTTTTCCTCATTTACAGGAGGTATGTAAAATATTTTTGTTATTTGTTAGTGGAAACAGTTTGAGGCAATTTTTCAGTCTAAACTTTTAAATATTTAATATAGAGCTTATTTAAAAATAATAATAATAATAATAATAATACACAATCTTAAAGATAAATATACAACATTGAACACAGTGATTATTAAATATAACAAAATGTAACTGTACAACCACAGAGAATTCACACAGAGCAGGAGGGGCTAGATGCCTTCAAACACATTAATGCATAAGTGCCCCACTCTCCATTTAGAAATCCTCAGCTGACATCCATTACTTAGCATTGTCATTCAAGCCTCTGAGCATTTATTACTACCTGTCCAGGCTGCAACTAACAGTTATTTTTTATCTATTCATTACTTTTGATAAATAAAAAAGCAGGTTCGTTTCTAAAGAAGTTGGTGGTAAGTGGTGATGAGTATGTTTTTTTATGCTAAATTTGTCTCACTCTTGTAATGTTCCTCTCTTGATTTATGGTGGCTCCTTCACGTTCCTGGAGTTATCATAATCTCATTAAATAATTGGATCGCAGCCTTGGGATTGGGAACCCCGAGGGGACATGAGGCAAACCTGAGGGGGATGTGAAATTATTAACAGCATAGGAAAGCAGACAAAAAGTAATGTTCTGCTGCCTTGAGCAACACACTGAACGCCAAGTTGTGCCCCAATGGGCAGGCAAGAACCTTGCATGGCACCTGGCTCACCACCGTGTGTGTGAAGCAAAGCAAAGCATTTTGTCTGTGCAGGTAGAAAAGCTTAACTAAAAGAATTTAATTAAGCTGGGTGTCAGTGGAGTTTAGTACGGAAGCCTTCAGAGACAATTGGGGGAAAAAAATCTGGTGGAGATTTAAGGAGAAAGTACAGTGGCCGCAGAACGCACAAAAAATGCACACCCCTATCTAGAGCCAGTGTTTGGTTTGTCTCTACTAGGCCACTGTAGAAAACATGGTATTTCAAGATGGACGATTATAAAATAATAAAAACATATCTATGAATATTACATTAAACTTCTGCCAATAGATCCTCCTAAATGATACACACTCGACCTTGAAGGTAGAAAGGTGTAACTAAATGTTAAGAATTGAATCGTGCTGAGTTTCAGTGGAGTTTAGTCTGGAAGCCCTGAGAGGTAAGTGACAAAAGGACTATTCTGATCTAAATTGTGTGTCACTTAAGAACAGGTAAAACGCCACGACAATCTTTTTAAGTTCCTAAACAGGTAAAAGATCTCAGGGCTTCTGTAGTTATATGGTGGTCTGTTTTTCAAATAAGATATACAAACACACAATCTACAATCAAGTCTACATAATGACAGTAAGTGAGAAACAAAAATTAAAATAAAAAGTCAAAGTTACTGAATGTTCACATAAAATGAATGCAAACATAATATCAGCCTGAGCCTTCGTACAACAACTCTGGATGGACGTGTAGCTTCATGCACACTAAACATTAATTTGGTACAAACATGAGTAACCAACATTTTTACTACCAAGCTAAATACATGTGAACATTTCATAGAATCAGCGTAGCCTCATAATCCCTGGCATGCAGCCACAAGACAAATCTGCCAAGAAATTTGGTCTAACTGACTGCAAAACAGTTGAAAACATACCTGGCAAAACCTAGAGGCACTTTCAACCTTTGGAACATGTCACTGTTTTTGTGGAAAAGCCTGGATATCTGACTGGTTGTTAACATTGGCTCTGCATATCCCCTGTCATGAAGAAGCAGTGCGGCTGCCAAGCAGATACTGTGTGAAGTGTGCCAATTGATGAGGAGATGATAAGCTTATGGCAGAAGGATAATACACACAAATCCATAAGGCACAACAATGTGCTAAATATAGGCCTTTATAGGAGGGCTACTCAATTACTATAAAGAGTCACCACACATTATACCACATATCTCACACATTACAGCCTACTATTTTATATTTTACAGTTTTACTTGCTCTGTAATTTTTTAGAAACTGCTTTCTTTTGGTTAGAAGAACTAACAGCTATATGCTGTATGTATAAAGCTTAATGCAATCTCTGTGTGTGAAACGTCTTTATATCTTTCTTAGCTCTGATTGGTTGTTTTCGTTAAGGACCGGTGGTTGATAAATAGTTATCTGATAAAATACCTTTTTTACACACCTGTACAGCAAGTGCAAACAGATGCTTCTGAAACTGCCCTACTGCTTTCAGCTGCTGCTGGTAGAGATGACAAATGCAGTGCATGTTCTCAGTGTAACAGCACTGTCAAATGTCACTGGTTCAATGAATCTGGTTCAGGAAAATCAATCAGAATTAAAGGTGCAATTTCATGTTGCACAATGAAAATCCCTTACATAATCTGAAAAATCATACATAAAAGACATACAGAGAGCTAAAACACAGAATTGAAAAACACAAAGCACAACAAGAAACCCTAGCACACATTATCATTTAATATATCGCCTAGTATTTCCACTAAGGTACATTGCTTTTAAAAAATTATAAAGACAAAAATAAATGACTTAAATTGCATTGGTCCTAGCCCATTGTTTTTGCTCATTAGTTTCGTTTTCTGAAACCACAACTCTGCTCTCATTGACCACCTTTCCAGCAGCAGGCAGTCGGTGAACACAGCAGCTAAAGAGCCAGATATCTTTATCAGGAGTTGTTTTGGAAACCAAAGCAGACCTAAAAGGAGTGAGTACTGGACTTACATTGGACTTTGCAAACATGTTCATGACGACAAATACATGTTGTCCAACAGTCAATTTTCTCCACTTCCTCCCACTGTACAAAGATGAAGCCAAAATATCCCGGCCAACTCAGTCACAAGCAGGGCTCACCCCCTTTTTATAGCTTCAAATAACTAATTAAAACCAAACTTGTCAGAAAAATTAACACTTGAACATACATCAGCGTGAGAGAACTATCTAAAATGACAGAAACCATCTTTGGGGAAAATTTAAATAAAATGGAATGAAATAAAGCATTGTTTACAGTTGGTAGAGTTGTTTTCTGCCTACACATCAGTGATTGCAGCCAGGCCAAGGTTTCTGATGTTTACCCAGTTGTTAAGATTAGAAGAAGCTGGAGGTTGTCCAGCCTCTTACCTAACCCCAGCTTACCTAAGACAGGCTTTGGCAGCACAGACGTAAGCCTGTCTAACACTTGACTGCTATCGTAGCCAACTTGTTGTCACTGCTGTCCTCTCCTTTGGTAAGACTGGTCTGTTGGGCTGAATACAAGACAATGAAATTGGATGGACACCTGATAGGGATAGGGATAGATGATATGGCCTAAGAAGAAAATCTTTAAAAGCCTTTTGGGGTTTTCCCTGTGCTTTAGTCTTATATAAATTTTTTTTGTGCATTTGGTGGTCTAAAAAGTGACACAAAGTCCACACCAAACACTGCACCTGCACTGCCTGATTTGTATTCAGCCATTTAGTTTTCCCTAACAGCCAACACAGAAGTCTTCATCTACTCCCACCACCTGAAGAAAGAAAGACCCAGAGGATTCACTTCATCTTCACTTCATAATGTGTTTTTTTAACATTAAAGAATGTAAATCCATTATAGCAGACCCCCCAAATATGAATCTGAAAATGAGCATATGTGACCTCTTTAAAAACAAACTACAAAAGACACCATATGTGTGCCAATGTGGAATATCACCGCATCTGTAATGTCTTATCACTGCGGCACCCTCTTCTCAAATGGGATGTGGGATAACATTTGTAGTTTAAATCTCGATTGAACAATTCAGCCGTTTTTTTATATCCTTTTAAAACGTACATTCTAATGAATTGATTGAATCCATTTATCGCCCATCTCCACCTGGGAAGAAAAGTTTGAGAATAGTGAATGAAAACATTCTGCATATTCAGTCTAATTCCATACTGCCCACACTCATCAAAGTTGCAAAGTCATTAAACATGATGAACTAGTGGTGCATGTGTGAGGGCAGATTTTATAACCACGTCATCATCCTGATGATATAACACTTGCCACCAACATGCCAATCCTCCAGTGAAATGACAGCACCAGGACAGAGACAATCAACTCCCACAGCAGCTCACTAACACACACTCACTGTAAATCACTCACTCTCTCTCTGGTTCCAACAACAGTGTTCTTCTCTCCAGCTACGTTTGATCATGTGCAACCAAACAGTTTCCCTTCATGCTGTTCTGTTCTATTCAGTCTGTACTGTTTTATTATTTTATAGTTTATTATTTATATTTTTTATCATCTTAACTATTTATTTTATTCTATTTTACTTTAGCAACATTTTACTGTTGATCATTTATTTTATCAACATTTTACAGTTTTTAATAGAATCAATTGATTTTGAGTAATATTTAATAATTTTATGTTTATTGCTTGTATTATCTTTTATTATTTATCTCTTATGATCTTAACTACCCTTCTTTTATTGCTGTCTTATTCAGTTAACTTTTGTTTCAGTGTGCGGTTTTGTCAATCATTTGTGGTTTAAAGGTGCTATATTAATAAAGTTTTAAGACGTTAGAAGTTGTCTAGAAACCCCACCAAATTAATGTAAACTCATTCGTTCATTTCTCAATAATTTTCGACTTCTTTGTGTTTAAGAACACCCTGTTGTTACTTCTCATCATTTGAAGCACAGAAATGGCTACCTCGAAATATTTTAGACCAGCACGTGGAAAGCCTGCAGCAGACTCCAGTGATGCTAGCCCGAAGCGTCCTGAGCAGAATGCTAGCCTGGAAACCCTCTTTACTGAAGTGAGTAAAATGAGTGCCACACTGCATACGGTCGCTTCGGACGTGTCAACGA